TATATATATATATATATACATACATATAGACTTTGAGTCATCATATTTTGTGTAACTTGACTCAGGATTGAGTTACCCATTTGATATCAGCGGTTCTGAAACCAAAGTATCTGCTGTACCCAGGGTTCTGAAACGACTCTGGACAGGTCTGCAGTCCATCAGAGACACATAGAGACAAACGAGACAACCAACCATTCACTGTCTCACTCACACCTATAGGGACAATTTAGAGTTACCAATTAACCCAACAGTCATCCACAACACAAAACAACCCATCACAACACAACACAATACAACACAAAGCAGAGATGCTTTGAGGCCGTGTGGCTGCAGTGTTCATGTTTGTACTTTGTGTTCTGCTTGATGCAGGAAAGGACGGGGAACACAGCCAACTGCCAAGGTGAGAGGAGGGGAGGGAAGGAGAGGAGCTGAGGGGCTAGGGGAGGATGCAGGCTGCTGAGCCGGGACCAGGACTGAAAGGCCCGTCCCATCAGCTGCCAGTGTCCTGTTGAGCCAAACCTGCTGACGGCAGGAAGATCTGCTCAGCCGGGTCACGGTGTCCTTCAGCTGTCCTGCAGGTTCTGCTGGAGCCGGCCGAGGACTGGGAGGAGTTGAACAGAACCAACAACAGAAAAACACTGCTGTTCTGGTTCTGTTCAACTGGTCCACCTCAGGTTCTGTTCTGTTGTTCTCACAGAAAAAGATAAAACGTGAAAAATGTGTAGTACTACCACACTAAAGTAGAGCCTAAATATCTGTTGAATTTACTGAATTCTGATCATTTCTGTGTTTTTTAGGTCAAAAAACAAAGAATTGAAAGAATAAATAAAAGAAATGAACCTGCTGGAAATTAAACTGCTCTTCATTTCTGACATCAGCTCATCAAGTTAGATCAGATATTAATAATAAATAAATCATTTCCATTGTTTCAGTGAAAGGTTTTAGTCAAGAGTTTTATTTTATTTTATTTTTTACCAAAGATCTAAACCAGATCAATCCAAGACCCAGTCCAGTCCAGTCCAGTCCAGTCCAGTCCAGTCCAGAGACTCTGCAGGTGGATTTATCTGTTTTCAACTGGTTTATTTCAGCAGTTTGGATCGTTCAGGTCAGGATTGTGTCGCCTTCTAGTGGAGGAACTTTTATTCTATATTAATAATAAGATAGGAGGTTAAATATCTGGAATGTCAGGACATTTAGAGAAAACAGTGTATAAAAATGATTTATTAAAAAAATGTCAACATAAACACAAAACAGTTTCATACAAATAAAGAATTATACAAAATCCAATCATCCCTTTTTATCTTAATTTGTTTCTACAGAGAGATTTATTCTGTTATTTATTCACACAAACTGATTTATTCTAATAAAACTAAATAAATAAGAGAACACAGAGCTGCAGGGGTTTTCAGCAGAGCAGGTCCAGCTTCAGGCTGGTTTCAGGCTGGATCTCCAGGCAGTACTGCAGAGACACGTCCAGACCCACCACAGGACCCACAACACTGAGCCACGACAGCACGTAGTTCACTGGCCTGCAACACACACACACACACACACACACAC